ATAAGGACACCAGAAATCATAGAAATTGCGAACTGAAGCAGCAAGCGAATTGAATTGAATAAAAATTCGCAGGAATCGCAGGAAGGAAAAATACAAAACGCAAAATCAAAAAGAAATAAAGAAAAAACAAAGAGCAGCACGAACGGAAGGAAATACCCAGAAAGCAAGCAAAGGATATCTTAGCGACCACAACGGAAGTTCATTTGCTGCATAACTTTTGGGGGCGCGGGTTGTAGCACACATACTTTCACACCCCACAATTGCATTAGCGCTATTGCAAACAACCGAGTCTATGATTCGGGGGAGATCAGGTGAGTTTCGACATCGTGACCGCCGTGAAATGGACTAAAAACCACGAAATATTATTTGTTAAGAAATTGTTTATATTTAAACAAACTCAAAAGGTTTAACGTAAGCGTAAGGTAAAAGAGTGCGAAAATAAAAATGAGCCAGAAATGGATTGCAAAATTAAAAAAAAAAATTTATTCAGCTCGATACCACGATATTTAAAAAAATATGTATGTATGTTTAGGTATTATTTGCCATCAGTGGTCAGTTTAGCAGGGAATTATGAGTTGAGTTCTTCAACACAATGACTGACTCTCATATTCTCCTATGTTTTTATTTGAACCAAAAATGTTTTAAATTTTTTAAGGACCATACATTGACATATTGAAAAACGAACGCTTTTTGAAATTAAATTTTAGATTCAGAACCCGTAAATATTCCTGCCGGGGCTTAGTTTCCCGCAATGTCCAGTGCAAAAATGTCAGAGCAATATATATTTACAACCACGTTTTGCTCACTGTCCATGAATTGCATATTGTTGCAAGCTAAGTAATTGCAGTAATTGCACAGCTGGCGGCGCATAATGCATAAGTAGTCCATAAATTCTTCAGCCGTGAAAAGTCCAAAATCATTTTCGTCAAGTGCCTATTAGTCGAGTAAAGCCGCAATGCATGTCCAGCAAATATCACTTACCTTTTGTATTCTGGAAACCAACAATAACATTAGATGTAGGTGCTCTTTGAAATACAGTTATACCAAAGGACATGCCATTCAGACGCGTCGGAGGACCTAAAAGAGGCCATTCTAAGAATTCCAAATTTTATTCAAATTCGAGGTGCCATGCAACTGTACTTCTTTGCTACAATGCCACCGAATGCCGGCCGACTTTATGCCGCGCCATTGGCGTCGCCACCCATCGGCTGCCTCGCATTTCACCTCAAATAAAAGCACAAAAGCGAACAACGGCATAAAGTGATATTTTAAAAGCACAATAAAAATTGCATTCGCCAAACGAAACGGAAGGAAACTGCGTTGAATGGAAGAGTACACAAAAGAATTATTCTAAGATTCCGAATCGACGACGCTGAGCTTCCTACATTACGCTGCTAGTGAACTCGAGCCAACCAGCTCATACATACACGCATACACCGACTTGGCCGAAATATGTGAGAATTTGCAACTCGAACATTTATTTAATTCCTTTAGACTTGTGTGAACAATAGTCCATTTGCAGCAATGAAATTCTCACGACCTCCACACTTGCATTTGGAGCAAATAGAAATTTATTGGCTCATAAAATATAAAAGGAACCAAAATTCAAGAATTTCGTTCGTTTTCAGACGGAGCTTATAAGCATGTGGCTAGCAATCATGAGAATGAAATAATAACATATTTCTGACCAATTTCCAGCAATCTGCAGACCCTCGAATTCGCTACATAAAGCGTGCACCAATAAATGGTGTATAATATCATAGAAATCATGACACATAATTAGATGAAGATGAGTTACTTAGGTAATCACACCGCGTGTTAAATTTTCTATTTTAATAAATTATTGAAGTATCGCACTTTTTGTGTGGAGTAAGCACTTTTTCTATTTTTAAACTTTAACAAATTTTTCAAAATAATTCCCACATTTCATATTTCCATTAATATTGTGTTACTTTTACACCATACAACAAGCTTGCCGATAACACGGTGTTCACAGAGAATGTGCTGATATTATGTTTGATCTGCATTAATATATGGTATATGAATTTTTAATGACATTATAAGGAATTAAGTGAATCTAACAGCATTTTGAATTCATAGAATGTTATGTTGACATAGCTATGAGAACGTTATGAAATGGAGACTTGTTGTAAAAGTACTGAAAACTTTATCTGCAGCCCAGCGCAATTTTCCGCTTGGTATTTAACCTAAAATTTATTTATATTTTCATTATATTTTTTTTCATTTCCTCTCACCCTATTCTTGCCACAAAGTAGACTTATGGTACACCAGTATGCATTTCCATAATTTTACATCAAAATATTTCAAAAATGCGCGTTTATTTGAATTAAGCCTCAAGCCATGCATGTGGGTATGTACATACCTATGTCTGCACGAGCGAGAATTGTTTCGCTCCACGCATTCGCGGGAAACAAATTCGAGAAATGAAATTGAAATATAATAGCTAGATGCGAGTACAATAAATGTTATAATAATAACGGTAATATAAAACTTCAAATATCTGTGTCGCCACATTGCCACAAAATTGCATTTTTTTTTGTTGTTGTCAAAACGAAAATATTTCTATCCGCCCGGTTAACGATAGCATTATGAAACGGCGCATACGTAAATCTAGCGATCTTTAGTGGAAACTCGTGCCGCTGCCAGGCAACTCACATGAATTTGTTGGCTAGTTGCAACATTCTTCTCAAATTGGATGTTGTAGCTTTTGTTGATGTGTGCAGGGGAGGAAGCAATGTTTGCATACTTTGTGGCGCGCTGCACTACATTGCATGTATATGGTTATATGTTATGTTTATATACGTGTATATTTTTAGTGTGTACAAAAGATATGCAACCAAGGGTTAATACTACAAACACAACAACAAAGCCGCAAGCTTCCCGACCAATGGTTTTTGCAGAAACCTAAACGTCTGGCATCCAGCTAAGGCCTTTTGTGCAACCGCTGACGTTAGCCGCGTCAAACGCTCTCTGATGCACCACCATGCAATACAAACGCATTCCTCACATGCACACACACATGCATGAGTTGTTTGTGGGAAGAGCGGAAAGCATTTAGAATGTTGTAAGCAGATTTGCACTTTAGTCTGGCGTACGCAGGTCAACGGAAGAGATGGCCACAACAACAACATTTGCGGCCAACTTTTAAGCAGAAACGCATCTGTGTGCTTAAGAATGTTTGTACGGAAAAAATTGAGTGTACCACATAGTTTTACTAAACATTTACCACATGCCGCTACCGTTATTGCGTCTCCACTTTCCTTGCAGACCTCATCTCGAAATAGTTTGAGTGCCCAAAAATCATTCGCCCCAATTAAATGTATAAATATGTACGAGCTTGCTTTTGAGGAGCCATATTAATTGTTTCTCAAAACGTTGACTGCGGTTGCACCCAAACAATAATACACTTTACAGTTGCATTTCTTATAGCAACTATGTATATAACCAAATCTAACAAGTAAGGAAGCACTTAGTTCGGGTGCAACCGAACATTTCATACTCTTGCAAGTTGTAAGGAACAAAGGTGGAGGAACACCTTCAGGTTGGGGCAAAACTTTATATCAAACTAAGGAAAGTAATGACGTGATTTTATCCATTTAAGGAAAGAGGATACACTGTTATTAGAAAGAGATTATTTTTGAAAATCATTAAGATTTCTTACATATTGACCGATTGATGCAGTATAAAGTGGACCGGAGGTTCTAAAATATTTATATTAAATAAATGGGGGCTAAGGGAAGTGTTGACCTGATTTTACCCATTTTTGGCTCAAGTTATAGTCCGATTTCGAAAAAATTTGAACGTAAAATGAAATACCTGGGCGTTATTTGTGCAAAGTTTCATTCTACTTACTATATTGAAGTTTGGTTTGAATATTGTTAAGTAAAAGATACAGATGGGATAAAAACGTTTGTTATATGGGAAGTAGGCACGGTTGTTATCCGATTTCATTTTTTCAGTGTCTAATAGGAATATTAGGGTAACCCCATACACCATCAATCGATATAAACAACCGTTACGTGAACAAAATTATTACATTCTTTAACAACATGTTGCAAGAGTTATAAAAGGTTAGTAGCCAATATTCAACCTTTAATGCAGATCTATGTATTGATTTTAATCTATTGTATATTTGTATGCTATAGCTGTTCGATGTCGGCGGTTCCGAAAAACGAGCAGCTTCTGAGGGACTAGCTCACATATATACAGACAGACGGATCTAGCTAAATCGACACAGCTGGCCACACTGATTATTAAATTATATGGTCGCCGATTCCTACTGGTTGTTACCAACTTCGTGGCAAACTTAACATATCGTGTTTAAGGTGTAAAAAACTGTGAAATATAAAACTGATATCAGTTATAAGTACTTCTTTAGTAATTTAGCACTGCTAGGTCAGAAACGGAAATTCGTACTGAAATCTTGACACGTAAAATACGGAGTAAGGATTTCAAAGTAGATTTGTATGTGCCAACATGTGACCAGTCCTATACTAGAGCCTTTTACATAGAATATAAGTGAAAAACACAGTTTAAATATTATACGTTATCGGTAAATTTAGGGTTAAAGTTCTAGTTATACCGGATCGAAATTGATTCGGTCTCCTCATAATTTTTATCAATTAAATCATCTTCCGGCCTTGGGCTCCTTTTCACCTTTCGCATTAACTTGTGTTGTTGGACTAACGATCAGCTACAAATGATATAAATGCGGTTGAAACATGGATTGAATACAATTACGTACAAGAGGAAAAAATATAAATATAATAATTATCAGTTGAAGGCCTTGTCGCTAGTGCTGTTATATTTTATAGGTAGTATATTTACTTATAAATGTATTTCCTTTTATAAATAAATAAATATAATAATTCTCTCCAGCAGAAACTCTGAACAACTTAAATTAAATTCAAAAGTAGTATAAAGTAGTTCAAAATATATCTGTTATATTTGAATATTTATATGTAATCAACTCTAGTGTTCTTTGATTACAGAGATATCGAAAAGAACGCCCAAAGGATGCATTACACCGAAAGATATTATTAATAGTCTTCCTCATATATACAATACATACAGCATTCCGCCCATAGTTACCAGAGAACACTCAGTGATTTGCACATTTCCTCACACTCGTTCTCCCATCCAGGTTACCGCACTGTCACGCAATTATGTCACAACATGGATCGAAAACAAATTATTGCCTCGCTGCAGTAATTGTCCTTTGAGTGGTTAAGCTCTGCAGTTGCATTCAGCACAGAAGCACAACAATAACAAGAACATCATTTAAATGAAATCGGAAACAGCAAACGAGGAGGAATCGAAGTTGTTTTGATACATTTTAACCGATTTAAATGTCACTTAAAAAATAAAAATAAATAGAGTAAAAGTATTCCCGACTCCGACATAAATACGTAATCATGATTGTTGGTATAATTTTGTTTTTAATTGCATTGAGGAGGACTGCGAATTACAGCGTAACGGTGCACTTCGCTCTGGCATCTTTTGAACAGCCATTACAAGTAGCGTGGCGATTGCATGAACATACTCATTTACACCGATATAGGTATATATATATATGTAAAAGCAAATGGTGCCTTTTTAGGGGTTCAGCAAATCTTCTTCGGCGGACAGTTGCGAAATTGTCGGTTTGAAGTGCAAGCAATCCAGCAGCGAGAAATACTCCCTGACTGTTGTACTTTACATGCGAAGAATCATTATTGTTCAATACTTTTCTAAAACTGAAAATAGATACCGTCAATGAGGAGCACTGTTGGCAAATTATTCCTTACCTTTTTGGTTCCCCTTGCCAATACCGAACGTCCAATACTAAAAGTTCTAGAAAAGTGCGAAACAATCTGTAAAACATATAATCGAATCATATGAAGAAATGGACCTATCATTTACCATATCACGTCCATCAAGTGATTGACTCCATTCGACTACCTTCTGTTGGAGCATGTCAAGTAACTGATTTGTGTAAACGACTAACCAGTTCGAAACCTGTTTCGTCCCGTCATTGGCGCAATAAGGCCGGCTATGCTAAAATAAGAACGAAATTGGACTGTAAGGATGACCTTCTTAAGACGCAGTCGCAGTGATTAAATATCTAAAAATTTGCAAGTGAAACCATTTGACACAAATTGATATTTGAAACAAAACTTCTATATTTAAAAAATAAACACCCTTTATGCATGGGCACGATGTCGCATGAGTATCATACACACGTATAAACAAATTAACCAGCGGAACACCTTTGAGCCACGTAAACGACAGCCTTTAATTTTCCCAATGATACACGTATAGCAGTTCCATATCATATATAATCTATATGGTATGTGCACCAAATAAATATGTTTGAGTGCTCGTATACAGCTGGCCTACACCTGGGAGTGATGCGGACGGACACAGTCGTTGTACAATCGATTTAAATTGAATAAATTAAATGTTAAATCGTGGCAGATAAAATTGCTCGTTCACCTGTGTTAATGATCTGGTGACACTATTTCTCTTTATGGCCAATTATTATCTTCATTTAACATGACATTTTTCAAACGTAGTAAGCAAGAAAAGAAAATATTATTATGATTATGTTTATCGTTAGATTGGATTAATCTGGCACGTAAAAGACGGATCCATTATTCCTCAATTCAGAGCGTTTTTCTTTATTCTCATATTAGTGTGTGGTCTAATTATAATCCTCATTAACCTTTACAAACTCTGATTCATAATTCATAGTGTATAGTTTTTCACCGTAAGAACAATGCGATTTTTGCGCAATATCGAAGTGGCAACAGCCCACAATGGTCTTTACGTAATGTGTAGAAACTCTTTGCCTAAACCATATTCTTTGGAGTACAAACAAGGATCTCTATATCTTTTAAGGATACAATCAAAAAATATAATTTGTGACTGTGATTTATCTGCAACTAGATTCAAAAGAGCTACGAAACTACTGAAATTTCAATTTTTCATTAAAAAGGCCCGACAGTGCGTATTAATGCTCCGCTCCGTAAACTTTATTAGTACTAAAATATCGGGCGGTCTAAATATATATATGTATATATTTAGTACATGTAATGGAAGTATTTGAGCATCTATGTTAATATGCTATAGTCTGAGCTGTCTAAATATAGCAAAACCCACTCAATACAGATCGTTTTTGGAACATATTCGCGAGGAGCACTAACTAAATAAGTAAAAGCATTATCCAAATTGTGACTAAAACGGAGTCAAAAGATAAAACTTTACACATCATCGTATGCTATATTAGAAAGCTAAGTTCCATAAAAACAAGGTTTTAAAAAGATATCTCGTGCAGATGGTGCTGATATCATCTATTAGCATACATCATCCAGTACTTGAAAGAGACCTGGACACCATCCATGGTATGTTGAGCTCATTGACGCTCTACATCTCCTTAAAGCGCGCACTCTTCGACTCTGTAGACTTTGACACGTGATTGTCATTACATCCAATATGAAACACAAAAAAGGAATATTTACACACGAGTAACCATTGGAACAACCATCATTTCTAAAAAGTACTTGAGCACCATTAACCGTGCAACTTCAGAAGAAACAAGTAAATACCTTAGCACATCAACCAAGAGGCAAACAAGCAAACAAAGCTGGCCACGAGAAGTGGAAGTCAACAAACAATGGTGAGGAAAAACAAGGCTAACAGTGACTAAAAGAGTATTGTAAAACTTGAAGTTGCCGCTAAAACAGAAGTTGCTCTCCAAATAGAAAATAACGGAATGGCTGGGAAAAAGAAGCAGCACCAAAGTGCCAGTATAATCGTTAGAAGGACACTAAAGGACAGCAACACGCTTGACGCCGCGCAATTCAGGCGTAACAAAGGCGACTGAATGTAGCAACTCCGCCACCTACAAACGCACAAGAGCAACGTGTAGCAAATCTGAAAAAAATACGAGACAGAGGCTGTTAGAGCGAGGCTAGTCACGGTAAAACAAGTAGCGTGCCGTAAAGATTGCGTGTGTGTAGTTGTTGTTGTTGTTGGCATGAGAAAATATCCTATGCGACACGTTAAGCTTAGCAACTCCCAACTTTGTCGGCTAATGTTGTTTACACTTTTCCACCGTGGGATTATTATCCTGCATGGCGGATCGAAGCGAAGAGTCAAGCGAGGTTTGCAGTACAATAAGAAAACAGGCCACTGACAGAGCGGCAAGCGACAGTGCCAATGCGGCATACAGCAAGCAGCAGCTTGGAACAATGAGCCTCTAGCTGCAGCAGCAGCGATGAACAATAGTAAAACAACAAAATCACAACAACAACAGCCAGAAAAGATGCATTCGGCTGAAGTAAAGAAACGAGTGGCAGGGCAACGTGAATGGCAATGCGCATGCGCTGAAGTGTTATGCAGCAACATCTGCAAGTACAATTGTCATGGCAACAATCAATGCGACTCCCTCAAGTTGCCGTGAAAAGTTAGCCAAAAGCCTAAGTTGTCGCAAAACAATGAACAACGGCTGATACTACAGACCAGTGAATTGGACAATGTGCCGTTGCTCCATCGTTAGACTGGTCACTGACAAATATTGTTAGAGACAAGACAGTTTCATGCTCTTTTGTTTACCTTAGCTAGCGACGATATAGCGGCTTATTGCCATTTCTTGGGTGATGCAACTACCATACACTCGCCTCAGGTACAACATAGACACCGTTACCTCGTATTGGTGTATATTTTAAAGTATTTGGAGAATACTTTTAAGCATTGAATTTGTTCATATTCGAATAATAACATTACAACAAATTTATAAATGGCAAAGTGGTCAGAAAAGGCCGGTTATGAAAAACTTACGCCTCCAGCCAATATTAAGCCTCTAATGACTGATTAAGAAAAATATATTTTAAGCAGATTTCCGAACTTTTTAAGAAAAGGAAAGTATTTTATTTTTATTTAATGAAAGAAATTTGAGATATTTTTAGGTTCGAAAAGTTTTAGTATGAAATTTTCAAATACTTTAAAACATTAAAATAGCAAATATTAGGGTTGTGGTTCTACCTATGTCTGACATTAGCATCTTAGTATGAAATAAAAACTCTACAATCCGATTTATTTTCTTGATCGGGGAGTTACACATATGAAAGGTTATAGTTTAAGAGAACATGATTTTATTTGAATTTTAATTAAATTTAGCGTTTACAATTTTAAGGGGTTTTTTTATGATTTTATTTTAAGTACATCGCACATTTTAAGTACATATATTTGCATATATGACGACTTGCATTCAATAATCATGATATTATTTTGTGACCCCAATATCAAGCTTATATTTCACAAAGCCTGAACCTATTATGTTTGTGCCTGTTTTATCGTTTGCCTCTTATATATTACACACCGCGCACTGAAGCTCTCTACTTTTTGATTTTATGTAACACTTTTACACGTTTTTGGCATTATTAATGACCAGTGGGCTTATGTATGGCGTGACAACCGACCAGTACTAACCAACCCTTTACACGTTTTCCTTGTCGCCTTCTTTGCATGCTAAACATCAACCATCCATCCATCGAAATTGCATTGTTAAAGTGCCATTCTCTTCCGAGATCAAAACGTTAGAAATGGGTTACATTCCACAGCGTTTGCTTGATAGAATATGTGTCCATGTGTGGCGACGATGCAAATACGTAACGACTAAAGTACGACGTGTTATTGTTATTGCTTAAAAGTTATTACTTCAAATCTGGTTGTTTTACGCTTCGCTCCCCTGGCTCTTTCAATGCTTCTTCCGAGCATTTATTGGTTGTTTCTGATTACAATATGATTTTACTTTTGCTCAGTGCTTTTATTTTCGCTTTTTAGTGTCTGAATATTTCTACTCCAACACACTCGAAGCAGACACTCATTGCACTCTCTGCCATCACACTCATCTCAATTATTATTTTTTTTTTTTCACACTTTTCTATAAACCCACACTCATACGAAAGCGCACACCACTCACTTATGCTTTACTGAGCGGTTTTGAATGCAATATCGCTACTTTACTTACAAGCACTCTATACCAATTTCAGCGCATACACACATCATGGCATTAGTATTTCTCACACGTTCCAATTACAGCGAAAATAATAGAGTGCAAAGGGCCACTTTAGCGTTCAACGGAAGTGATTGAGGGAGTCCAAGTATGCGTGTCCTCGCACATACACATTTACATACACACCCTTATATAAGAGCACACGTGTATTTGTGTTAATCAACTTCCTGTCGCCTCTATTCGAGCCAACAAACAGCTGTTGAAAGCGATTCGGCTGCCAAGAATCACTTGGTGGGTCGCCCACCTGTGCGTATACTCAACATTTAGCACTCAACTTGTGGCTATTGCAAACATTGCCACCGAACAAAAACCCGGCTTTTAGAGGAAAAAATCTCAAGTGAAAAGGTTCACCAATACACCGATAAAGTGCTAAACTATGTTGACTACGCCGAACTTCCTGTATGTAGAATTGTCGTAGGACCCTCCAATCTCTCACTCACGCACCAGATGCCCAGCACACCCACGCATGCATTCACCGAATGCGATTTCATCACTGTGGCTTTCTGGAGCTGTACAGTGTAGTTTTATATCATTTTACTTTCATATGGCTTCGGTTTCGCTCATACGGACATATGCGGGTACTTTCGGGACTCTTTAGAACTACTTGTGAAATACATGTTCAACAAATATGGCCGAGCGAACGACAAACATTTTCAATTAGCAGCTCATGAATTTATTATAGACGCATGCTGCTAAATATTTAACAAAGGAAAGACTAACTTGACAATTGATTGTTAAAAATAGATTCAGACCTTGAAGCCATATTCAACTCGGTTTAGAACACTGTTTTAGGAAACAACGATTTGCAAACCGATATTTTGGTTCAAGGCTTTAATATTTTCGAGTGTATACAAATAAAACGATTTCAGCCAGTCCAATTAAGTGAAATTAGAAAACAAAATATTGATCAATATAATTGGATACACCGATATTTTCTAGGTGAGCGTGGAAGTCCAAATAAAAGAAGCTTTTTGCTGTG